ACCGTTGATTGAAGGTACAGAAATTCTTAAATGCAATCATATAATTGAATTTGGCATTAAAGAACAATCTGAAAATAAAGTTGTGTTCATAGCATTATGCCTACAAACATCAAACTTAAATGGGAATCCTCATGAAATTATTATATCAAAAACAAATCTAGACTTTAATACTACTATAAATGGTTCATGTAGTTGTAAAGCTGGCACTGGCAAGTGCAAACATGTTGTAGGCTTTTTGCTCAAACTTCAAAAGTAAGTACCAACTTTTATGTATTGAATTATATATAAAATTAAGAATCTAACAATATTAAAATAGCATTTTATTAATACCATATTCTAACAGAACTTCAGAAGAGGACATACAACATTTAAGTTGTACCGATCTTCGTCAACAATGGGGCAAAATGAAAAATACTGGTATTCATTTGTATAAACCGATACCTATAAGAGAATTTTGTCATGTTAAATGTCCTACTGCTTCTTATAAACAAAGTTTACCAAACTCGCTACCACCTGACCTTCAAGAAGAAGTTTTTCAAACATTGTTACAAGGTATATATTATGTCATTCATCAATAACTTTTTACAAATATATAAATTAGTTTTATTATTGTATAATACATTTTTATTTAGTTTTAAAAAAGTAAAACTTCTTTTAAAATTCTGCAGGGATTTACAATAAAGGTCTACATAAATAATTCTAATTCTACAGATAATTGGAATAAAAAAAATATGAAGTATAAGTATAAAAAGTATGAAAATTAACTAATAATACACTTAAAGGCTTATGCTTATTTTGCTTATTTTTATGCAATATTTTATATTTTATCTAAAAATGTATAGTCTATTAGTTTTTTTTTTTGTGATTCCTATAGTAATCATAAATGGCTATAAATGTCTAAACTTATTTGGTATTTATGTACTGTTAAATTGCTATGCTTTAATACTACACTCAAATGGATATAAAGCATTATCTATATTATATAATAATAATCATTTGCTATGCTGGTTAATATTGGATACTTAGTTACATTTTAACACATGGTAATATTGTTCTAGGTTTTCCAGACTCGGCAATATCAATTCACCTAAAAGGTCGCCATAGTCCTCGAACTCGATCACTAGACACTACAACAAGTACATCTAGTTTTGATAAAAATAACTTCTATACAAAATTGGTAACTGCACATTCTTCAGTAATCAAAGATGAAGCACAAAATATACTCGAGTTAACGAATAATTGTTCCTCAGATGCTATACATTTTTATAAAACAAAAGTAGAAATTAATAAACAAGAATCGATCAATCTGTGTAGTAGTACATTAACTCAAATGGGACCAATATGGCTTACATCTCGTAAATTGAGAATCACTGGTACATCAGCGTATAAATTATTTACTTTTTTTCGTGGATCACTTCAAAATAAAAATATTTCTTCTAAATTAAAATCCTTATAGATTTCCAATTTCTCTGGTAACAGTGTTACTTTTTATGGGGTTGAAAATGAACCATTGGCCATTAAAGCTTTTGAAAAATTAAAAAATATAACTGTAATTAAATCAGGAATTGTTGTTAATATTCATTGTCCTTGGTTAGGATTTAGTCCAGATGGGTTTTTTTATATCTGATAATGAAATTTATTTAATTGAAATCAAGTGTCCAGTCATGGGTAAAACAATGTGTGGGTTGGAACTATTAAAGAGTTTAAAATATATTGTGATTAATAACATAGGTGTACCCAGCCTTAAAAAAAAACATTCTTATTATGGGCAAATTCAGTTAGGTTTATTACTTTGTAATATTAAAAATGGCTATTTAGTTATATATCAAAAAATGACTAATTCTGTTTTATTAATAGAAGTTAAATTAGATTTAGAATTTTGTAAAGAATTATATTCTTCACTGAATTTCATATATTTTAAACATGTATTACCTTTTTTATTGGAGAACCAGGATAAAATATAATTAAATTAAATACAAAAATTAATTAAATAATTATATTCACATTATATTACTTTAATAAGTTATTTTTTAAATGTATATTATGATGTTTTAATAAAATATATGCTTTACAATATATTATCATGACTTAATGATATATAAATTAGCTATTTTTTAAACAATAAAAGTATTAAAATCCATCATTTCCTATTATCGGGTTTGAAATATTTGTAAATCCACAAACAATATATACAATTTTATCTATTTTACACATACACTTCCAAGGCATTTTATTTTTAAAAATATGGTATATTTTAATCCTTTGTATGGCTCGTTCTATGTGTACCCTAGCTTTGGCAATTTCTGTGTTTGCTACACCATCGTTTAAACTAAGCTGTTTATTTTTTCTCAAAAAAGGAGGGCGTATTAATTTGACTCCTGCATTTGTGCAAGATTCTTCTATAAGGAATCCTTTATCTGCCATTACAGAGTCCCCTATTTCACACTTATTTAAAATACCTCCGGTTTCAAATATATGTTTATCAGAAGCTTTTCCACCAAATACATCACTTACAAAAGTAATTAACCCATCAGGAGATATACCTACCATGAACTTAATGGTGTGACGACCTTTATAAAATGAATATATCCTAATACGACATGCTAGAAATTTTGGTGTTTCAATAGCAGTTTCAGTTCCATCTACAATAACTCTTGTAGACATGAAATTAATGAAACACCTAGGAATATTATTTTCTATACTGTTTTTAGATGGCCAGATAATTAGAGGTTTTAAGATTAAATATAATAGATCAATAGTGTTGTAAAAATAATTTGCGCATGTACTTTTAGATATACTAAATAATACACAAAGGCATTTATATGATATGTTCAGTTTAAGTTTAATTAATGTTAATAATATTCGATGATGAACATCTAAGACAAATTCGGTATTATAATTTAATCTAAAAACTATCAATTCCCCTACTTCAACTATTTTTTTGAATTTTAATAATGTCGGGATTCCTGTAAAGGCTAATATGTCAGAATCATTTCTAATTAGATCCATAATGGTGCTTTTGAAACCTGGAGGTTGGTACAAAGGGTCTACTTGGATACATTTATCAAAAGTTAGTATAGGTTCTTTGTTAGATATTTGAACCCTAGCTTCATTTATTAATTCATTAGCAAGTTCTTCAAAGTCAGATGATGTTTGCTCTTGTGTTTGATCTAATTCATTACTTGCACCAAATAAATCTCCGACAAATTTGGATCGTTTTTGTGCTCGTTCAGATCTTTTTCGTATTTTTTCTTTTGTAGGAGTGTCAATCACTTTGTCCAGTTTTCTTTTTGGAAGATTCAATGATGGAATCACATTTACTTTGAGACGACGTAACCTCGGTGAGTGTTCTAAATAGTTTTTATTTTGTGCAAAACAACTGATAAGTCTTACAATTTTATCATTTACCATAAAGGGTATTCGTTTAGTATGCGTGACTACCGGTCCGATAATTAATTTTAAAACATTCAAATTAAAAATTATATAATTAGGCGTTATTTTATTATTACAGATTACGAATTATATTCAATATCAGTCAAAATTAATTTTAAAAAATGCATAAAATTTCATTTCAGCTGATGTTCCATGCATTTTTTGTAGGATCTTAGTTTTTAATACTCCCCAGTCACACACTAAACCCAGTAATACAGGTAGGTCACATACTAAATTCGATTTTCAACAGGTAGGTCACATACTAAACGAATACCAAATAAAGGTCTTAAACTATAATCAATCACTTGTTTGGCTAATAATAAAATCCTCGTCTTGGAAGTGAAATGAACACACCACAGCATTTTTTGGAGTTTTTTTGCCCATTTTCAAAACAATCTCCCACTGTCGCTTTTTGTTAATGTTGCTTGGAAATGCATGAAAACTTACACTAGTATCACCACGTCTTAAATATAATAAAATAATATTTATTATTATAGTATAGTGTTATATTAGTAACAGTAATAATAAATCACTAGTTATATTACTAAATGTGTATTATTTCTATTGAAATATTGAACTTACATATTTTTCTTATTGCACTGAGGTACACAGCAGTATCTTTTCGAATGATGGCGTTTGGTATTTGATTTATTTGAGTAGGTATGATCGGATGTGGACATTTTAAATTATATTTTAATATTAAATAATGAAAGTCAAGAAATATTTTAAAAATTCACAGTTTATATTTGTATTTATATTTATATTCACACGTTACACCACGTTTTTTGTACATGAAATGATATTATCATTTCATCATTAGCCTACATTTCGTTAGTTCTTATCAATACCGCTAGAGTTCAGTTACTTCGATTGGAATCGCCAATAC